TGCATCTTGAATATCTTTCAAAGTAAGTGCTGGGGCTGGAGTTGAGGCTGGGGCTGGGGGGGAAGGTGGAGGACTCCTTATTTTAGGTGGGGGACTCCTTGATTTAATTTGCTGTGGTATTTGAACAACAGAGGGGGAGATAGTCTTCTGAGGAACAAAAGCTCCACGCTTAGAGGCCATTTTTCCCCCTTTCCCCCCCCCTTCCTTTCTCTTCTTGTATTTTAAAAGTCTTTTAAAAATACTATAAAATTTTGTAAAAGCACCCAGCCACAATAAAAGCAAAAGAGAAAAAAAAAAAACCTGTTCAGTCCATACCATGTAACTAATAGAAAGTCCAGGAGAAAGTTTCTAAAAAGTGAAAGTCTCACATAAGTTCACAGCGGAGGAAAGAGAAAACGCCCTTCCGCAGCCATATTCTTTTCTTCAGATTCAATTGAAGAAAGCAGAAGAAGATTTTATAAGTTTAGAGTTAAGGTTTTAACAGGAATCCCCGTCAGGTCTTCCTGGCAGGCTCCGTCTGCCTTTAGAAAAAAAAAACTCACGCTCTCATTGAAGGCAGAGATTGAATCTGCATCTTGCTTCGGATGAACAGTCGAACGAAGGCAGCCCGAAGAACGGAGAAGTCCCTAGCTCCGAGGGAGCTCACCTTCACCCCCAACACTTTAAAAGTGTGGGGGCTAGCGAGCTCTACCCCTACTAGGGAAACTCACCTCTCTCCCTTTGCCCGGGGGAGAGGATTCCGAACCGCGGGACAGCTGATGAACGCTGTTTCCCGCGGCTCACATTCTTCGGGGAGGGCAGCCTACAGAGAAGCTGCCATTGGTGCCGGCGATTCAACCGGAAGTCTCAATTATACATTTTCTTAATTAGTTTTTCATCAGAGGTTAATAGTATCTGATCAAACAAAGTCTGCTTTTTATAGAATCCATACAATTTAACACCTTTATCATATCTCACTTGTATCTGTAAATATGAGCTTCTTCTTCTTGTGCCATATCCGTTATCGGACGTTGGCGATCCTGTTTTTCTCAGCAGCCGCAGGAAAAAGTGCTGCTGAGTTTTGTCCAAACCAGTCCCTTAGATTTTGAAGCCACGATGTTCTTCTTCTGCCTGGACCTCATTTGCCTTCAGTCTTTCCCTGGAGGATTAAATGGAGCATGCCGTATTTTTCTGGGGTAAATATGACCACTAATGATAAATCAGTACCCTGATTTTCCATCTCTTGTCTAGATTTTAAGTTCCCTTCAGAGTGTAGAATATCTTTATATGTCCATATTTTCTCAAAGCTAACTAGATTTGGGTATACAAATGCTTCCATTGTTGACAGCCATCCTGGGATTTTCAAATATATTTTGCTTTTTATTTTCCCATGTTAGTAATAATGCATTTCTAATATAGTGGTTTTGAAAATGTTTTATGAATTTTATTTTTCCCATACCATAAAAAAGCATGCCAACCAAGTTGTAAGTCATGTCCCTCTAAGTACAACAATCTTTTATGTCTGAGGGTTATCCATTCTTTTACCCATGTTAACAACGATGCTTGATAATATAAAATCCAGTCTGGCAAACCAAAACCTCCATTTCCCCTTAGTTTCTTGTAACATTTTCAATTTAATTCTAGCTTTCTTTCCTTGCCAGATAAATTTTAAAATTAAGGAGTTCAGGTCTTCAAAAAAAATTTTTCTCTATAGTTTTATAGGTATAGGTATTGTTTGAAGTAAAAGGAGTATTTTTGGTAATACATTCATTTTCATCATAGCAATTCTCCCTAACGTCTACACTTGCAGATTTTTCAATTTTTCCAAATCAAGTTTTATTTGGTTTAGTGATATTATATAGATTGAGGAAGTTAATCACTCATTGGTTCCTTGACATGTGTTTCTTTTGATTTCTTGTCCTGCCCTACTTTACCCTCCTTCATACATTGCATATTTATGCTAATAAGCTTTCTTATCAAAAGGGTTGTGTGTTTTATTATTATAATAAGCTAGAGGTTACCAAAGTTTATGTCTACGTGCCTTAGGTAGCATCCTTCTCACAGAGTCCTGCTAACTTTGTTGTAACATTTCTCTTGCTGGGCAGTCCTGCCCACCATTTGTTACTGGTCTTATTACACCCATCTGCAACTTTCTGCCTTGGCAATTTCTTTAACAAACTTCACTAATTCCAGCGTGAGATCTTCACCCCCTCCAATTTTTTGAAGACAGATTTACCATAGTCCTTGACTCACAACCATTCATTTAGTGACAGCATTGAAAAAAGTCACTTATGACAATTTTTCACATTTATGACCATTGTAGCGTCCCTGTGATCAAAATTCGGATGCTTGGCAACTGGCATAGATTTATGATGGTTGCAGGGTCCTGGGATCAGGTGATCTGCTTTTGCGACCTTCTGACAAGCAAAGTCAATGGGGAAGCCAGATTCGCTGTACAACCGTGTTACTAAGTTAACATCTGCAGTGATTCACTTAACAGCTGTGGCAAGAAAGGTTGTAAGACGGGACAAAATTTCACTTAATTGTCTTGCTTATCGACGGAAATTGCCTGTAGGGAGAAATAGGCACCCTTTGCCAGCTCACTTTCCACATTTGCTATAGAGCAAGATCATCATAGAGTCCTCCAAAGTCTTGAGTGCAGACCCTGAAAAACACTCCTGGTGGGTCAGGCAAAGCCAACTCAGCTCAAGCTTTTGTTTCTCAGTGATGCTTCTCAGGTGACTGCAAGCAGGAGACTCAGGCAGCTCACTTTCCTGCCATTACAGGTAGTTCTCGACTTAGAGCCATTCGTTTAGTGTTGGAAGTCACGACGGCAATAGAAAATTTGACTTGCGACCATTTTTTACATTTACAACTGTCCCTGTGGTCACATGATCAAAATGTGGACGCTTGGCAACTGCCATGTATTTATAATGGCTGTATATATCTTCTAACTGGGTCTTCCCTCAGATGTAATTCTTTATGGAAAAGAAACTCAAATCTTGTATTTTCTCTTCAGATCAAGGTTGGGGATTGCCTGAAGGCTCAGAAGGAGGAGAAAGAAGAAATAGCTACATACAAAACGGACACAGAGCAAAGAGTTCAGGAGATGCTTGTAAGTATTGATCCATCGTTGAGGAGCTTCTGAGCTAATAGGAAGGAGAACACCACCCGCCATCTTTAATAATAGGCAGCCTGTTTGTAAGTACAAGTTCTGACTTAAATGAAATTCCAGTTAAAGACAATATTAGGGCACAGAAAGTGTTCTTAACCTGGGGACTGTGTTCTGGACCAGTTATGTACTCATCTGATCACAGTATATACTTGAGAATTGTGTTATTGTGTTAGCATTTATAAGGTTAATGATGTATTATTGAATGAACTGTATGTTAGAATGTTTGGCATTTATAGGGTTAAGCGCTGTCCCCTTAAGAGATGGCTTATGGGTAATGTAGTTTTAGCT